AACAATGTTTCTCCGCGGAGATACCAACTCCTGTAGTTGGGGGAGGAGAGACATTTAAGATGTCTCTGGAGTCGGGTGTTCCATCTCAAGTCTCGGTACTGAGATTGAGGGGGGGCGCCGACTCCGACGATAACGAGATGACGGGGAAAGGGATGGGTGGGAATTTACCCCCCGCCCTCCCTTCCCCATTCTCACCGACCTTGTCCGAGGTCGAAGAAGAGCACCCCTGCGGGTACCCCGGCTACCTCACGTGCCGGGTCTCCGAAGAGATTGCAGAGTCTATCCAGAGCGGGGTCGAAGGAGAGCCTCTCTCATGGAGCTTTCTTCGTCGACCTTTGCTCTGACGGGGACGGTTCTGAGACGAGGTTCTCGTCTGTAACGAGAATCAGCGTCTCGTCGACCGGGGCCAAGAGACCACGATAAAGCAGGGAGGCAACCACCACCCTCCCTGATTCTCCCTCCTCTGCGGAGAAAGAAAAAGGAGAGGAGGATAAGAAGGGCCGGCATCTTATCCTCCGACGAAGAGGATCAGATCCTCAGGGCTCAGACCTGCAAAGAGGATCCGAGGGGACGCCCCGCAAAAGATCCCACGCACATCGGGTAGCACACCACCCGAAAGAGGAGGGAGGAAGCCGTGAAGCGACTTGAGGAGCTGCACCAAAAGCTTGCCGAGAGGGTCATGAATCCTCATCACGAAATAGACCGCACAACCGAGCGGTACCACAAGTTTGTGGACAACACCAAACGCAAGGTTGTACAGTACGAAAAGGTTCCAGTCCAGGAGATCCTGGACGACCTCAGGAAGGACACTGAGTCTATCCTAAAGGTCGCCGGGGTCTTGAAGGGCCTCAAGGGGAACCTGGCGGGGCTCCTTTGTGTAGCGGCTTCTTCCCTGGAGGCAGGCGCATCGACCCTGGCAGGGCGTGCAAAGAGGGGGTTCTATGACCCCATAGCGGGAAGGGCCCCCTCTCCCGCAAACGCTAACGTGGAGGAAATCCTGGCGGCAAACCGCCGCCTGCAAAAAGGAAAATGCAGACCTCCGTAGGGAGAGAAAGGAGAGAACCTCCCCCCCTCCCTCACCCCTCACTACCCGGTACAAGGCCAGAGTCGCTGAGAAGGACGAAGAGATGGAAGTCATTGCAGGGGGGTCGGTGGAGGCCCCACTCCCGGACCCCTCCCCCGTGATGATAATTACCAGGGAGGACCTGAGTAACTTCCCGGCAAGGAGACCCCCGATCAAGGGAGTCGTAAAGGTCCTAGAGAACCACCCCTTGCCGGTGGTTACCAGTAATGTCCTCCTACCCGGCGGCCTGGCCGAAATAGTGACACAGGCGGTAAGGGAGCAGATGGGAGAGCTGCTCCCTTGTTTGATGAGGGAGTTTCTGGGGAATATAATCCCCCCCTCCTCCTTGCCTGACCCCCCCTCCAAACCCCCTGGCAACAAGGGTCCACCCTCCGTTAACAGGGTGGCTCCCCCGGCCGGGGATTCTAAGAGGGAGGGAAGAAAAAAGGGGAAGGGGAAGGTTTTGACGCAGTCCGACGCTGTGCGACAACCCACTGCCGACCCTTCCCCTCCCCCTAAGGGGGGAAAGAAAGTTCCGACCGCCAAACCGCCAACCGGGGCAATCGATCCCCACCGGAGGGAAAGCTGCTGCGGTCGCCACTGCCTCTGTGCAGCAGCAACCAAAGCAGCAACATGATTCACCACCTCTGCTCTTTACAGAGGTGGTAAAAAGGAAGAAAAAGAAGGAGACTTCCCTCACTATGACGGCGAAGGGCGCCCAAAAGGCCGCAAAGGCGGCTCCCAAAGTCGCTCCTAAATCTTCTTTCTTCCCGCCCAAACCGAGCACTGGGGGGGAAAAGAAGAGGGGGACAAAGAAGAGAAAGGCGCCCAACACCGCGGCGATCGCCATCACATGTCCGGACGGCAAATATGCCGCGGTGATGAAGAAGATCAAAGGGGAGATCCCCATTAAGGAAATGGGGCTCCCCCTGATCAGGGCGAAACCAAGTCAAACTGGGGCCTTTATCTGCGAGATAAAGGGCCCCAACAACCATGAGTGTGCGGATAGGCTGGCGCAAGCGATGCGCAGCCTATTCGCGGACAGACCCGAGGTGCGAATCAACCGACCCCAAAAAACGGGGGAGATCCGCATCAGGGATCTGGATCCATCGGCCACGGCCAAGAGTATCGCCCGGGCCGTGGCGGAGATGGGGGTTGCTTCCCCGCCGAGGTCAAGGTGGGGGACATCAAACCCTCCCCCACGCCCAGAAGTCTGCCCACGGTTTGGGCAGTGTCCCCTCAAAGCGGCCAATAAGATCGCCCAGGAGGGGCACATCGCGATCGACGGGATCTTTCGCGCCCGCGTCGAGCTTTTGGAGGTGCGCCCCCTCCAATGCTTTAGATGCTTGGAGAGGAGCCACGTCAGGGCAAAATGCCCCAACGCAAATGTGGACCGCAGTGGTCTATGTTACCGCTGCGAGGAAACGGGGCACGAGGCCCGCGTGTGCACGGCGCAAGCAAAGTGTGCCGTGTGCCTCGACGTGGGCCGTCCGGCCTCCTACCGTATGGGGGGGCCGGCGTGCAAGCCCCAAAAAGGGGACAAGAAGAAGAGGGTGGAGGTAGCTATACCAGCACCCATCCCCCCTCTTCAGAAGGAGGGTAAATTGGCGGCAGCGGCGAAGTCGCCTATTACGGGGGAAATTAATTCCCCCATCGAAAGGATGGACATTGATCCAGTGCCGGCTGCCGCCGAAGAAGCAGGAAAGAGTGGCCTGGAAAAGAGACAGGTTCCAAGAAACCAATAATGTCCACGAAACTCTTCCAGGCCAACTTGAATCACGCTCGCCGGGCCCAGGACTTGTTTCTAGCGGACCTGTGCGAGCGTGATGCAGAATTGGGAGTGGCGGCGGAGCCGTATCGGGTGTTGGAATCCAATCCAAATTGGGTTTCGGCCTCGAACGGCTCCGTCGTCATTGTGAGGAGGCACTCTCCGAGTTCCCCCCCTTTTACCCTAGTGGAACGAGATGTGGGGTCCGTCATAGCGCGGTGGGGTGCCTTCTACGTGGTGGGGGTTTACGCCCCACCAAAGCGGCCTCACCCGGAATTTAGGGAACAGCTGCGGGCAATAGGAGCGGGCATTCGCCAATGCCTTTCCCACCCCGTACTGGTGGCCGGGGACTTTAACGCCTGGGCTCAGGCGTGGGATTCCCGGTACACCATCAGGGGTGAGGCCGTGTTGGACTGGGCGGCGGGACTGGGCCTCCTGTTGCAAAACAGGGGGTCGGATAGCACCTGTGTTCACCCCCGGGGGGAGTCCATAGTCGACTTGACATGGGCATCCTCCCGAGCAGCGGACTTGGTGGGGACCTGGGGGGTGGCGGACCGAAAGTCCCTTTCGGACCATCTCCACATAGAGATGGTCCTGACTGCTACCCCCCAGGAGGTGCTGACCCGCCGCCACCGACATAGGGGCGATAAACCCCCCAGAAGATGGGTCTTGGCCCAATTAGACCAGGACAGACTGGTGGCGGCGGCCTTGGTGAAGACGTGGGTGGATCCTCCCGACCACGTCGACACCGAGGCCGAGGCTGAGGAGATCGGGAACATGGCCGAGCATATGTGCGATGCGGCCATGCCCCGGTCAAAACCCGTTCTTTGTCGAGCCACATACTGGTGGACGGAGGAGATCGCGGATCTGCGGAGGCGCGTAAACGCTGCCAGACGCGATCTCCTCAGGGTCTGACGACGGGCGGGAGGGGAGGATGATAGTACTGTCGAGGCGCGCGGGAAGTACCTGGCCGCAAGGTGCTTTCTGCGGACAGCCATCGACAGGGCCAAGGCCAAGGCCTGGGAGGAACTGCTGGTTGAACTATACCGGGACCCTTGGGGGCGTCCGTACCGTTTGGTACTCAATATATTGAGACCGACGGCGCCCCCAATCTCGGAGACGCTGGACCCTGGGTTCCTCGGCCAGGTGGTGGGGAGTCTCTTCCCAATCAGGGACATTCACATCCCCCCTGGGGGGGATCCCCCCACTTGGTCCGAGGACCTAGAGATATCTGAGAGGGAGCTCTCCGAGGCGGCCAAAAGGCTGGGGGCTGCTGGAAAAGCCCCCGGCCCAGACGGGGTTCCCGGCCGAGTGTGGGCCTTGGCCTTTGGCGTGGTGGATGCCCGCTTAAAGAGACTGTACAATGCATGTCTCGGGACGGGCACCTTCCCCTCCTTGTGGAAGAAAGCGAACTTGGTGCTCATTCGCAAAGAGGGAAAACCGGCGGAGCAATCTTCGGCTTACAGGCCGATATGCCTGCTGGACGAGGTCAGCAAGTTGTTCGAGAGAATTATTGCTGGCCGAATCGTCCAGCACCTGTCACGGGATGGTCCCAACTTATCTGAGGATCAATTTGGATTCCGGGAGGGCCGATCGACGACAGATGCGATCACGCATCTGCGGGCCCTCTCGGACCAGATTGTTGGGAAGGGGAAGGTGGCGTTGGCGGTGTTGCTGGACATCGTCAACGCCTTCAACTCCTTCCCCTGGGAACACGTGGGAGAGGCCATGGAGTTCCATGGCTTCCCTCCATACATAAGGGAGGTCCTTTGGGACTATTTTCGTGACAGGACGCTCCAGCTGAAAGACCAGCTGGAGCGAGTAAGCCGAAGGGATGTCTACTACGGGGGGTTCCCCAGGGGTCGGTATTAGGACCCCTATTATGGAACCTCGCGTACGACAGAGTGCTCCGCACGGCACTTCCCCCGGGCTGTCGTCTGCTATGTTACGCAGACGACACACTGGTGGTGGCCCGGGGGAAGGATTAGAGGAAGGCCCGGGATGCGGCGAATGCTGCAACCCGGGCGGTCGTATACTCTTTAAGAGCCATGGGACTCGAGGTCGCCCCACAAAAAAACGGAGGCCCTGTTCTTTTACGACAGGGCATGGGGGCGGCCTCCCCCTACCCAGATCTGGATAGGGGAGGTCCGTGTCCGGGTGGGGACCAAGATGAAGTATCTGGGCCTCATCCTGGATGGACTTTGGGGGTTTAAGCAGCACTTCGCTGGGATAACCTCCAAAGCGGAAAGGATGGCGATGGCTTTGGGTCGCCTTCTTCTGAACTTGGGTGGTCCGAGCAATAAAGTCCGCAGACTCTACACGAACGTCGTGCAGTCGGTGCTCCTTTATGGGGCACCGGCGTGGGCCGATAGGGTCATGGCCAGCCGGCGAATAAAGGCGATGCTACATCGCCCGCAACGCCGGCTGGCCATTAGGCTAATAAGGGCCTACTGCACGACGTCGTTCGCGGCGGCCACGGCTCTGGCGGGCCTCCTCCCGGTCGAGTTTCTGGCGACCTCGTATACCGAAGTATATCGGCGTACGAGGGACCCGGACCGACACGGGAGTGCTTACCTCTTACCACAAGCCGTGGCCAGGATTAGGAAGGGCGCCCGCCAAAGAGCTATGGAGGCGTGGCAGGCCTCCTTAATTGGCTCCACGGCGGGCAGATGGACCACCCAAGCCATCCAACCCTGTCTCCCGGAATGGGCAGACAGGAGGGGACACGGTATCGGGTTCCACCTCACGTAGGTACTCACCGGGCACGGTTGCTTCGGTGACTACCTGCGTAGGATTGGCAAAGAGTATACGACCGAATACCACCACTGTGCGGCCGGTCGGGACTCGGCGCTACACACTCTCGCGGAGTGTAAAGCATGGGAAGAAGAGCGTCGGGTTTTGACCGCAGTGATCGGCGAAGACCTCTCCCTACCAGCATTGGTGAGAGCAATGCTGGAAGGAGAGGAAAAATGGAGGGCCGTCTCCTCCTTCTGCGACAGAGTCATGTTGCAGAAGGAAGAGGCGGAGAGAGAGAGAAGGGGGAGGCGGTGGGGGGGGAAAGGGGATAACGCTCCTCCTCAGCCGCCGCCGACACAACCTCTTCGCCCCCAAGAGGGTAGGTAACAACAGAGCCCCTCCGGGTGGTGACGTTCACTAAAACCCCGGGGGGGATCTCCCTGGAGAGGGTCCCTTCTTCTTCTGGGACCCTTCCAACTCAGAAGGCCAGAGGGGAGAGAAAAAACTCCTGGGGAATTCTTGGAGTTATATCTCTCCCCCCCTTCCGGCGGGAGGTCAGTTGGGAGCAGGGGCTCCCGACTGGACTCAGCCCCCCACCAAACACGGGAGGGCGGGGAAAAGTCGCGGTAGCCC